GAGTCTATGAGTCTATGAGTCTATGAGTAAAGCAGTGTGCAAAGACAGGTAAAATCCTCTCCCGTAGTTTGAGAACCCTTATTTTTTTGATGGGGAGGAAATATTGCACTTCAGAGAGGTTGCGCTCTTCATATCTTTAATAGGAACTACTTGCGCTTTTGCCTCAGAAATCTCTGGCCAAGACGAAGGGTCTTTTACTGTCTTTTGCTTTGAAAGAATTCAGATCCAACTATGTCAACGTGTGTCAAAGGAAGGCCTCGAACATGCTTGCCCATGACAACGGAGTGCCAGCCTGGGGAGAACGGCAGATACCTGGGAGATGAGTGCAGTATAAGAAAGAACCTGAATAAATAAAATAGAAACCTTGTCTTTAATGGAAAACTCCCCCCACCATAAACAGAGGGGGGTCGTTCTAGAAGTCAAAAGCTTCACTTACCTCTTGAGTGGCCTCTAATTCTAGACTGGTAGCAGCCTGCACGATGGCCATATTCTAAACACAGTAGCTAGACCTCAGGACTCTGACAGGCAAGTATCCCTTGATTCAGAGAATTCAATTCAGACTCCCCCTATGGAAGGGATTCAGGCTTCAGCAATGATCATCTGCACAGTGAAGCCCGAATGCTCTTCTTTTGTGCCGGTTTCTTTCACAACATGGTTTATGTGAATGATACAAAATATCATAGTTGCTGTTAGTGTTACTGTCCCTCCTTGAAGCACAGATTATTGCAGAAAACATATGGCCCTGATTTAAAAAAAAAAATCTTAGTGTGATTCTTACCCCTTGCTGGTCAACTGAGCTAACCAAGTTCCAACACAGCACTTGAGAATTAGTGCATTGAGGGGACAGCATTTTTTTTATCATCCCGTTTGTGGTTTTAAATGTATGTATTCTTTCACCTCTACCACCATCACATCGATTTCTTGGGGAAGAAGAGAATATGTAGTTCTTTAAAGAACGTTTTCCTATCAAGCCACCAATACCAAATGATTGCAGGTGATGGTTAGTAAGTGAAGTGGACCCAATATAAAGAGTTTTTAGGGCCCAAAATTACAGGTGGGTATCATATATTTCAGATTTGAGAGGATGCTATGCTGGGGATTTCCCACCCTCCCTGAAACATCAGAAATGGCCCCAACTAGAGCTGGGATGCTGGATAGGGTGGGCCAGTGCTGGAGGTAGCATTGAGCATCTTCTCTCTCATGTACTTGGCTGGCTGGCTCTTGCTCAGGGTCTAACTAATCGCCATATGTGGCATCAAGAAACAATTCCCCCTCCTCATCACCCTATTGGGTGAGCATTTCACAATCTTTAAATGTGTTTAGCCCCAACCCTCTCCAGGAGGTAGGGTAGTGTGGTTATTCCCATTTTACAGATGGGGAACAGAGGCACAAAGAAGCTAAGTGATTTGTTCCAGGTCTCAAAGTCTGTGGCAGAGCAGCGAATGGAACCCAAGTCTCCCAAGTCCTAGGCTTAACGGCCTAATCACCAGATCATGCTTCCTAATATTTAAGGAGGACAGCAGTGCCTACAATCCCCCACTAAGATGAAGGCTGCATTGTGCAAGACCTTATACAAACACAGTGAGACACTGCTTGTCCTGGAGTGTTACAGTTCAGATTACAAACAGGAGAAAGGATCAAGGTCGGGGCAACAGCACCACAGAGGGGAAGTGACGCAGCAGGTGAGTGACAGAGCTGGGAACAGAGCCCAGACCTTGTTCAAGCAACCAGTCTGCTCGGCCAATTCTGTGCTTTGGGAGGGGTCACTGTAGCATCCCTCACGTGATCTTTCATTGCTACCAGTCTGGAGGCAAAAGTTCATTTAAAACCATCACGAACTGGTGGTGAACAAAGAACTGTTGGGGAAGATATGTAATTAAAACACACATATCTAAAAAACCAAAATCTATACTGTATATAGATATGTCAGGACATTTCACCACTGTATTCTAGACCTCTGATGGAGTGCGATTTTACAAGCAAACGTTTAGGAGGGCTGCATTACTCAATGTGAGGCATTTCAAACCAGTGGCGATAAAAGCTCTACAGTACTAGCCTGTTCTCTATATGCCATGATGTCACAGAAGAGCTATTCTATTTCACTGAGTTTTACTAAGTGTTATTGGGACTATTTGTCATAGCTCTCCTGTAAAACCTAACAACTGACTTAGCACAGTTCCTCTGTAGTGCTCACAGCCAGGTGTACAGTGTTGAAGGTGAACTAAAATAGCTCCTTTCCACCTAAAACTAGTTGATTTCAGGTCTCTTCAGGGCTAGAAGGAAATGTATGTCTTCTAGGAAGCTGGCAATCTGCATTTTCTAATGGTTTGAAGCTTGTTTTTGGCTCCTCAGGATTGTGAGACACTGCACCTTAAACCTACTGCTAGTGCAGAACTTAATTTGTCCAACCCAGGCCTCAGGCTGTGTGTGTCACTTAGAGGAGGGGAAATAGGGAATATTATTAAGAACATAAGAATGGCCATACTGGGTCAGACCAAGGGTCCATCCAGCCCAGCATCCTGTCTGCCGACAGTGACCAATGCCAGGTGCCCCAGAGGGAATGAACCTAACGGGTAATGATCAAGTGATCTCTCTCCTGCCATCCATCTCCACCCTCTGACAAACAGAGGCTAGGGACACCATTCCTTACCCATCCTGGCTAATAGCCATTAATGGACTTAACCTCCATGAATTTATCTAGTTCTCTTTTAAACCCTTTTACTGTCCTAGCCT